TTTGTTAAACAAGCTGCTGAGTATTGATTGAGGTCACATAGTGAGTAAATGTCTAAGGTAAAATTTGAATCCAGGTCTTCCTGATTCCAATCCAGCTCCAGGGGACAAAGAGAGGTCAGATGATTAAATGGATAATGCGGGACCTTGAGTCAGATTTAAATATTGCCTCAGACATTTACTAGCTGTGTGACCCTGTGGGGAGTCTTTTAACCTTTCTGAGGCCATTTTCTTATCTGTATATGGTACACGGAATATATATGGGGATGGGCCTATAGCTGGCCATTTCCAATAGATCATAGGTACTCTGACCCATTGCTCAAGGACTTGTGCTTTGGGATAATGTAGCAATTACATACTTGTCATAGTGACTGTGGGACTGTGTCAAAGATGATTGGCAATGGAGCCAGGAAGAACTACCTACTCAGTAGACTATAAGAGAAACTGAGGAAAAACAACCTCCTCTCTTCCTCTTTTTAGCACATTACTTGGGACTCTACCAGCTCTCCCTTGGCTTCCCAACAGGGAAAATGGCTTTTGCTTTTTTTTGTTTTGTTTTTTTGGGGGAGGGCGGGTTACCTTCTCCTCCACCTTTCCAAAGCAGCTATGGAAATTATACACAAATCGAAGCTAAAATACATGCTTGCTTGAGACTGATCTTCAAGTTCCTAGCTACCTCTTCTGCTTTGTGTTCCTTTCCCTTAGTGCAGGTAAACAAATAGTAATCCTGAAATGGCCGTTTCTGGCCTTAGAAATTTCCTCATGGGTTCAAAAATTCAAGAGTTCTGGAATCAGGGGCTGGCTGCCAGAGGGAAGTGATTCCTATAACTGTAGCTCTTTTCAGAGGAAAAGAGTACAACCACCAGAAGGATTCTTCATCTAGATGGCTAAACAAAGCCCAATTCACAGCCTAGTTTGCCAAAAGTTTCAGACTTGTGAGTTGGATGCGCAGCACAGGTCAGTAGTGAAAATGAAAATACCTGTTCAGTAGTCCCACATAATATTTCATGTTTTAAGTTTTTGATAATGTTTGTTTATGAGTCTGGTGCTTTAAGAATTTGTTTTGTAGTATAGGAAATAAACAGCTGTCTTATACCTGACATCTACTACCCTTTTCAGCCCTTTTAAGGGAAATCCTAGACATGAGCCATACAGAAACTTTAAAGTATTTTCCAAGAGATTCAAGTGAAGAAATAGAATGAGATAGAATTTAAAAAAAAAAGTCTCACGCCCTTCTTTGCAGTCAGACTTTCCCAGGAATGACCTAGGATCTGTTTCAGTCCAGAGCTAAGGCTCTTTTGCGGAAATGGACTCTTCCTCCTGGACTACAGGTGACAAGTTAAATACAGATAACATCGGCACTTAACCTCACAGGTTTGTTGTGAAGATCAGATGAGTTAGTACATGTAAATCACTTTGTACATGTTAAAGAACAATATAAATATGAGCTATTATTTAAGTTGTACTGCATAAAAATTCAAACAAAATATAGCTTCGCTACCTATAGCAAGGTTCTCCAAATGTTTTTTCCTTACAAATGACATCAAACTAACCACATCACACCCTAGAACACTATGCAGCCCCTCAGTGAATTCCACAGCAATAAAAAACAGAATGGCCTAGTCATCCATTTTGTATTTTTAATCCATTTTATTTTTTCAGGCTATACTATGACAAGCAAGTGGACAATCTGTCAAAATAAACCATCAATATATATTTCTTGTACAGCTGGAGGCAGATAATACAATGACCTAGGTCTAGAATTGAGATGGAAGACTAGAATCATTAAAAATACTATGTGATTTTCTAAATACATAGGGTCCCAAATTGGAGACTACTGAAAAGTCAATCTCTTTAATACTATTATTCCCTTGGTGCAGTATTTCATAGTTTGTAGGAATATAACAGGATCTCAAAAAACCCTAAAATAACAAATAACTCAATAGTCAACACAAAGATGGTAGCAACAGCATGGTGGCTTCAAACAAGCTATAGCATATTTTAGCATCAAAAGCAACTATCAAGGAAATGTATGACCAGAAAAGGAGTTGGTTAGCTGTCTAGTAAGAATAGCAAATACTGATAGGGAACCTTATCATTGGAAATTTTAAAAAAATAAAAAACGGAGGGGCAGATGGTAGAAGTATTCTTTACGACACCGAGTATCTATTAAATATCTTCCAATAATGGATTTATGAGAAAAGCATGAACAAAAACAATTCAGGAAGAAAGGACATAAAAGAAGTTTATGATTAACATTGGCAACAGGAGTATCTACATTGATGAAATCACAGCTATCCCAAAGTACCTAGAAAGCTGACTTTAAACCACATTCTTGCCCTGTCAGAGATGGGAAAAAATCGGTATCTCTTTACATATGATTATATATATGACCAGTTACATGGGAGAAAACAAATTTTTTATAATAGGGGAGAAGATATACCTATTTGGTGATACAAATCCTGCATGTAGTAGGGCTGTCACCAATGTAATTTTTAAAGAGGAAATAGATCTTTGGCTAGCCTGCTGATTTCCAGGTATAGGAATTTGTGATGAGCCTAAGGAAGAGAGATAATCTATATCAAGCAAAATAAGCTCCTTTCTAATAAGGATGAGATTGCCAAGTCCTTTATTTCATCAATGAGAAAAAAATATTCCTACTACTACTAGGTGTGAATAAAAGCACGAAGGCCAAAAAGTACAGGACATTTTTAAAGAAAAACACGTAGTCCATTTTGACTAGAACCCCAAGGTGGTGGGGAGAGGGCAATGGCATAAGCAGAAATTCCAAGGTTAAAAAGGGTGGTTGGGATATAAGAGGTGATCAAAACTGTGTCTTAGGATTCATATTATATTAGAAGGAGGGGCAATGAGATGAGAGATTAGCCTCAAAAGGCTAACTTGTCTTCCTATTCTCTAGTTCACCTTATGCTCCACCCCACCCCTTAAAACCATCCTTTCCTCTGTTCAGAAAGTGTTCCCTAGTCCCAACCTTCCCCCCTCCACCAAACAATTTCGGAATAAAGAATAAAGAAAAAATCATCAAGCACCTGAACCAGTGTTAGAAATGAAAAGAAGGAAAGAAACTTCAAGGAGATTAGAGAGAAAAAAATAAATCTTTGTGACTAGCTATGTAATGCTAAGACAAAAAGTGACTAAGTTACTGATTACTCCTAAGTGACATGGATAGTGATACCAGCCAATATAAATCAGGAATTCAGGAATAAGAATTGGTTTCTGGTAGAAAATTAGCTCAATTTTGAACTTGTTAGTGCCCTGGGATGCTGGGAATGTTGTTCTAGAACTTGGAAGATCTCAGGCCTTTATAGAAAAAGATAATTGGCAAAGAAATAATCATTAAAATTGTCTACAGAAAATTGAAGAGGACCATGCACAGGACCTCAGTAAATGGTTATATTTAAGGAGTAGGAAGAGGAAATAAAAAGTGGAAAAAATAACCAAAGGTGGAAGAGATCTAGGATTTAGGTGTTCCAAAAGCTAAGGGAAAAGAGTTGCATAGGATCATAAATCTGGAGCTAGAAGGGACCATCAAGTCCAACCCTGTCATTTTACAGATAAAGAAACTGAGGCACAGAATGATTACATGATCAATGTCAAAATATTGCAGAGAAGTCAAGATAAACCTTTTTTTAAAAAGCCAATTTAAAGATTAGAATGTCATTAGTAATCATCAAAAGACTAGTTCTAATATACTAGAAAGAATATAAGCCGAATTAAGTCTGGCTTCTGACACATTGGCTATGTGACTTAGGCAAGTCATAACCTCAGTGCCTCATACACCCTTAGGTTATAAACTTCAGAACAGTTACAGATCTTCATTAGTAGAGGGATTCTCCTCTACCAATGAAGTTATTGGTCCAGATTATGCCCATCTGCCATAAAAGAGGAGAGAACCACAGAGGCTTCTAGAAATCTAAACATGATAGCAAGAAAAAGAAGCAAAATGATAATTTGCAGGGTATCAGGGTTTAGGGAAGCATGTTTATAGGCAGAAGAATGCTCTGGCATCTATTCCTCTCACATCCTCAAGATTAAGACCTCAGAGGAGGTAGCCCGAGTAAAAGGTTTAGTAATAGATAGGGAAAACGCTTCTTCCTAACAAAAGGAAGTAGGTCAAGTTAGTGGAATGTTATAATGGAGAAGACTGGAACTATGGCTATTCATTTTAGATTGGCAAAGTACGTACATCAAAAAGTCAAGTACTTTTTCTAAGGTGCTGGTGAAAACAAATTGTTGAAAGGGCTGATCTCATGGAATCTGACAAGTAAAACCAGATGGGGATGATGGACTATGTCAGGATGAGGGAGAATCAAAGTAAAGCAGACACTGGTGTTAAAAACATAGTGAAGTTTATTGTTACTTTTTATAATCAGTAGAATCTTATAAATCAATAACTTCATTATATTACCTTTTTGAGTACATCCATTACACATAAAACTTCATTTAAAAGTAAAACATTGTAATTCTAGCTAAGAATAGAGTCATAATACAGGTGAGAAGAATCACCATCAAGTACCTTGGCCCCAAGTGAGGTTCTTTTTTCTATTTCAGATGTCTCTCAACTTCAGACTCATTTTAAGTTAGGAAACAAGAAAGCTGCTCTTGTGAACTCTAATCCCACATCGAGATCAGTTGAATTGTATACTTTAGCTACTTTGTTGATTTGTGTTGACCCAGTGGTACCTATCCACCCGGGGTCCTGGAAACACAGCAGCAGGCCTGTAGTACTTGTGGATCTTGTATGGGACATAAAAAGTACTTCCTGGGAGGTTGGGGCGCCCATCAGTCATATTCTTTTTACGGGAATATTGGAACCAAGTTTGGAGGGGCTGCTTGAAATACTCAACCTGAGAAAGAATGCAAAGACTCAGCATTCCAGAAACAGACCAATCAGGTCTTGGAACTAAGCACAAACTGATTCACTGGGACATAAGGATAAACAAAACATCCCTCCCATCCAGAGCTGTTTAGTTATATCTTACCTGATAAATGCTTTTTGGATTTTTGACTTTAGGAATTACTTGAGGCTCTCTGCCACATGTATCCTCATCAGAGGAAGTGCCAGAATAGTAGTCAGATGTGACTTTACTAACAGCATGACGGATCTGTTGAGATATTTCCCATTCTTCCTGCCTGCCTTTAAAACAAGCAACTATAAATGGACGATTTTTCTCACCATACCTAAATAGAGAATGGAAACAAAACTTTAAGACAAGAACTTTAAGGTTCTCTTTATTTCTAAAAACTATAATTATGAACCCTTCACCTCTTTCTCTGTCTTTCTAAGCAAACTCAAGCATTTTCTGGGGGGTAGAGTGAGAGGGAGTCTACTTCATCACTTGAAGAAAGTTTGATTCAAAGGATAGATACAAGAATGGAAGGAACAGGCAAAAAGGCTGTTATTGGGGTACTCTCTGACTCAGACTATTGCAATATTATAAACAATAATAGGAGGTCTTAAGTGAAACTAACCTCCCCCCACCCCACCCCTTAACTGGTGATAAAGAAAAGAAAATATATTTTAATATATTTTCTTTTGATTCAGCTAGTAGACCTAGTTGATTCTTTGGTATAGAATGCCCTTATGATAATGCCTTCAGTATTTACTTGAAGGTCATATCCCGAAGGAGAATATAATAATCACATGCTAAACTTAATGATACCCTTCACCTTCCCCTTTCTTCCCCAAACCAATGAAAGCCTGTTAAAAGTAAAGACATTGGCTCATAAGAGTTTAATCTAAAATTTCAAAGGGTGACAGTTCAACCAAAATGTCCCACCCCACTTCCTTTAGAACAAATATTAAAGAAAAATAATCAAAACAATTTTTCTATTAAGAAAAACCAGCATTAAGAATGTAACAGAAGCTTACTGAGACATCTGGTAAAGGCTTAATGGTCTTGATATCTTGATGGTTATGATACCCTAATGATACCTTGATCAGGGGAAGAAAGAGTCTTAATCTTTCTGGAGCTACCTTCCACGAAGGCTACTTCAAAAGGCAACTAAAAGATACAAGTTATATACATCATTCACTTCTGGGTAGAGCACTTACCTGCAGCATACTTCAAAGGGATCTACCCATATGGTCATCTCCTTTGGAAGTCCCAGGTGAAAAAAATTCACATTACTTTCAGCACATGCCCTCTCCAGAAGAGGATCTTTTTTCTGTTGTTTATTTATCCTGATACACCTAATGTTGAGAAGAGGCAAAAATAAGGGCATAACTACTTATTTTTTGCAAAGATATCTGGATGATAAGCATGTTACTTTTTTTTTTCTTTTTTGTGGCTAAGGAAGGGAGCAACTTGTGAAAGAGAAGGCTCTTTTAGAGAACTTTTTTTTTATTTTGAGGCTGACAAAAATATGAAGTCTCCTTTATTAAATTTTCTTTACTTAGAGACCCAGAACCTAAACTTTTATAAATTCTAACAAATTCTATGCATTTTGCTGTAAGTACACAGTAAAGGTCCCTCTCTAACAAGTTTTCCTTCCAACTGGTTTTTTATGAGCTTGGGGGTATGCTGGAGCCAGCTCACTAGTAAGAACTAATTGTTAAACTGTACATTCCTCCTTCCCCCGATATTCAAATATTTGGCTCCATTATAGGCAAATAACAATAATAATAAAGTGGGAGAGGAAAGATTAGGAGAAATTCAGAATCTTCAATCTGAGTAGTTTCCTAGCATAGCCATTTGTTAGCTTCCTTTGCCATACAGCATGATAGGCCTCACCTGAAAGCTTGCCCTTTAGAAGGGATATCTGGGTACCAGTGCGTCCTGTATGTCTCAAACAGTATTGCCATCAGCTTAGCTGCAAATTCTTCTATTTGTTGCTTACTCAACTTATCAGATTTTTTCACCAATCTTGTGATGAAGAAAATTGTTGTGGCAATTTCATCTTTCATTTTTAAAAACGGAGATCTAAAGATTTCTTCAAATCACTGAGAAAGGACAATAAGAAATTAGAGTAGCAAAGGTTGAACATACCATCAATATCTACTTACCACATAACTGGTCTAAGTTTTAAGCTAAGAGAAAGCTGATATTTAGAGTTAAACTCCTTAAAGAGGTAACTAAGCATACTATGTTAATCAACAAAAACTTAGCCAAAAAATACCTACACCTCTACAAAGTGGTTTTGAGAATTCTTTGAGGAAAATACATACTAACACAGTAGTATTTGTTTAAACTTTGGTACATGCAAGAAACAGATAGGAAGCATTATAATCACACAATCATAGGTACAATTTTGATAACATATGAATGTAAGTTATATGACAGCAAACATCATTTCTTTTAAGTTTTGGAAGGGAAAAAAAACACATTTCAGATCTACAAGAAAGACACTAGAAAATCTAGTTAAACTAGTCAAATATATGATATACTTGCCACCCCCCAAAAAAACCACTTTATCCCCCAATATGAAGCAGGAAAGGGTTTATAAGGAGTTAGCATACTTGAGTTTGTAATTTCAACCTCTTCCCCACACCTAATCCACTTACAATTAGGATGAGGTTTATAAAACCCCAAAATCCCAAAGGCTGTCGGGTGTTTAATACAATGAACAGGTGCTATCCATCAGGCTAACTGAAATGACTGCCTCTAGAACACTGTCAGTTTATATAGAGCATAATAATCTTGTCACTATATAAAGAATCTTTATGCTAAATTAAAATATAAAAAATTACAAACAAAATTCACATCTTGCACTGTCTTATAGAATTTCTATTGTTTTGTTACATGAATTATGGATCAAAACTTCTATGTCCACATCTTAATTATTTTTGACATTTTAATAATTCAATATCTATTTTACATTTTAAATATTGTACATTAATGATGCATTGTCATCAGTATAGTGTTATGAGACCTAGAAAAATAACCCCAAAGCACTAGGTAGAGATCCCTTATAGAGGATTTGTAGGATAATAAGGATAAGAAGGTATAGATCATATCTCATCTATACCATTGGAAAGAATAACTACACCTAGAAAATCATGCATTCATTGAAGTATTAAAATTTTAAGTAAACTCATTATGGTTTTTTTCTTTTCAAGGTAAATTTTTGTAAGTAGACTCTATTCCGACTATGCACTTTTTCTAAAATGTTTGTATATAGAATATTCAAAAGAAAGAGGTAGAATTATAAACTGCTTATATTCGTAAGACAGGCAGGTAGGTAGTTCACTAGATAAAGTGCTAGCTAGGCCTGGAGTCAGGAAGACTTGAATTCAAACCTGACCTCAGACACTAGTCTAAGACCCTGGACAACTCACTTAATCTCTGTTTGCCTTAATCCACTGAAGAAAACAGCAAAAATAGGAAATATAGAAAATAGCAAAAATAGTTAAAAAAAAAAAAAGTATCTTTGTCAAGAAAACCCCACAGATAGTATTGGCTATGGTCTATAATGTGGCAGAGTCACACAGAACTGAACAACAACAAATTTTCACAGGTCTAGGGCCTTCCCTCTCCCTCCATCCCCCATTAATCAGAACTTTTAATTCAGTTACCTTTTTCTTTTCTTTTTTGGTGAGGCAATTGGGGTTAAGTGACTTGCCAAGGGTAACACAGCTAGTAAATATCAAGTGTCTGAGGTCATATTTGAACTCAGGTCCTCCTGACTCCAAGGCTGGAGCTCTATCCAGTGCACCACCTAGCTGCCCCCTCAGTTACCTTTAAAAAAAATACTGAAAGCATTAGAGGTGCAGCTAGACGCTAACATTTCAGTCAACTCACAAACTAGGGTCCAGTCTCAAGACTAGAAAGATTAGAGCCACTTTATAGGAGTTAACGTGATTTGATTTGATAAAGTGATTTAAAATTAACTCAACATTTAATTTGGGGTTTTGCATACCATAATTAGAGAAGATATGAGAAAAAATGTTTACTTAAGGTGTTTTTTTCATAACCACAAAAAATTTTTCAAAATATTTTATGTGATCAAATTGGTTTTTTTTAATGTAGAATTAGGAGTCAAGACCTATCTAGCCTTGGCTCTCCTTTTTGCCTGTAATCTTGGGCAAATACTTGCCTCAAGCTTTCTACGACTTCATTTTCTCTTCCCAGGGCTATGCTGGACCTAGCTTGAAATAGCTCTTTGAAAGCTGATTGTTAAATTTTCAGTGTGAGCATTTACACCTCAGAAAGAGGCATACACTACGAATCAAAGTTTGAGTTACTGTCATTGTCTAGACTTTTTAAAAAAGTTTTTTTTAAAAAATGTTAATAATGAAGATTAAACTTAAAAAATGTGTCATGAGTACATTTTAGCAGGAGAACCAGTTATTAAACATTTATCAGCACTCCCCTGCTTCAATCTCATATCTTCATATAAAAATTAGTTGAAGTCTTCAAAAGAAATTCAGGCTATAAAGCCAAGACAGTAACATTAGTCTATGATATAGAAAAATATCTATAAACAAAAGGCTAAAAATAATTTCATTTAGAAATTCAGTATTAATTTCTGTCACTTTCTAGCTAATACAAATCATTTTTCATCTTTCCTAACACTATCCTAAAGAAAATTACTTGTCTCCTACAAAGCTTCTTTTAACTTATCTTAAAAGTGAAGAAATTAAGTAAATTTTATATAGTGCTAAGAGAAAATTTGCTTTTGTTAAAAATTCTTCTAGACTATAGATAACATGTACCTCATTTTCAAATGGATGGTGCATACACTTAGATACATTTTAAAACATGCATCACAAAGAATCCAGCAAACAAAATACAAATATAGGTTTTCCAAATATCCCAAACAGGTAGGTATATACTTGCTGAGTCCTTTCAAGGTTTTTTAAGATGCATTAATTCCCTAGAGCAGTCATGGGTAAAAAGGAGTATCATCATTAGCAAGCTATCAGTAGAAATAATATAATGATAGCATTGTACCTTTTATTATTACAGTCCTACACCAGAAAAGATATTCTCATTTTTGTTCTATTTGTATATATCCTGGGTAGATAGTGAGTGACTCAATAAGTGTCTATTGAAATGAATTTCTCTCCTGGTTGCCTAGGTGGATATAAACTTATTTCATTCGCCATTCACTTAGTTTAATGAAGACTATTATAACAACTTTTAATGTCTAATTATTGCCAATATCATTTCACATTTCCTAATGATTTCCTAGAATAAATTGTGTCTCTTGCAAAAATTCTTTTGTCTTGGGGCAGCTAGGTGGTGCAGTGGATAGAGCACTGGCCTTGAAGTCAGGAGGACCTGCGCTCAAATTTGGCCTTGGACCAAACACTTGACACTTACTTAGCTGCATGACCCTGGGCAAGTCACTTAACCCCAATTGCCTAAAAAAAAAAAAAAAGAATTCTTTTGTCTTAAGAGTGGAGAAAGTAAGTAAACCTGAGGCAACTATCTGTATATTGGTAAAAAAGAAATCTAACTGGATAAATAATGTCTATTGTTCAAACTACAACATGCAGTTACCTGGACAACTTTGAAAGCTCATCCATTAGTACATGTATGTTGGACAGACACTGCAAATGGATCATTAACTGGATCTGTAACTGAACAGGAAAGTAGGCTTGATTGCCACAACCCTCTGTGTTGCACATAATTTTAGAGAATGCTCACACGTATAAGAGCAGATAGGAGTCTCATTTTCAAATGGGTAGTGCAAGGACATACAGGATTGACAGGACAGGCCCGAATAGTTGTTATCACTTTCAACTTCCCATTTGAAATATTGTACTATTGACTTTTGGATCAGTGAAGCACAATGGCTAATGAGACTTTGAACTTTCCCATGGTATTACTTTCTGCAACGGGCCCAGGCAAGTCTTGGAACTTGCGAAATAGAACAGCAGAATAATAATGTGCCTAGATTCCACTAAGGAACAATCAAACAGAACAAAGCTTCCTTCAACGCTTCCTTTTGTTCATTTCCTTATGCAGAATTAAAAATATTATTTAAAGTACCACCTACAAATAAATGGCAAATATATTCTGTTTTGATAGTGAAAATTCTTCATTTGGGGCCAGGCTTTCAAATATGTTAAATAGACATGTCCCTTATTTAACGTGATTTAAAATGTACCAATGAAAGATTCCCTGACCCAGAAAGACCTCTCCTACCAGCCCACCAACAGTGCCTGGAATTACCACTATTAGAGATCCATTCCTTCAATTAAAATGAAGCAATCTTGGGCAACATTCATATATGTACTATATCTAGATAATAGAGCCCTTTTGACTAGTCAGACTATATCTGGAATATTGTATTTGGTTCTAGCCACCACATTTTAAAAGAAACATTGACAAATTATAGTTTATCTAGAGGAGAATGACTAGGAGAGTAAAGGGTATAAATACCATGTCACAGGGGCTGAACTAAACTAGGAATAGAGGGATTGATCAAAAAGATTCCCCTAATCAACTTATGAACTTACAGAGTAGTAAGAAAATTTTGTTTGGGTCTTTAATTGTATTTTACCCTTTGGAGACTAATTAGTCATCTCAGATCATAGTGAGTATTTGGATAAGAGATTCCTTTTATGCAACCCCAAATTTGTCTTCTAGTTAGATTAGTTCTCCCACTCTGACCCTCAGTTTCCTCATCTCAGAAATGAAGGGGCTGAATTAGATGACCTTTAAGGTCCTTTCCAACTTTACGTCTATGAGCTTCTAGATGACTCCAAGGTCATTTTCAACATTATAATTCTATAGTTCTAAGATCTCCAGAAATCCTTTTTCTATATAAAATATGCTATCCTAAATAAGGTTTAGTTCAGTATTTCAAAAGATCCATAATTTCATCAATGTGGGTGCTCCAACCAATGATGAGTTCTAATGGGATGTGACAGGGATGAGAGAAAAGGAGAAGGGAAAGATGACTCCAAGGTTTCATTTGCCACTGGAAGAATGAAGTCATTTATGAAATTAGGGAAGATAGCAAAAGCAAATTTGGCAGGAAAGGTGATGAGTT